CTACATCCACTGGTATGTCTACACCTACTTTACCCTACATCCACTGGTATGTCTACCCCTTCCTTACCCTACATCCACTGGTATGTCTACCCCTACTTTACCCTACATCCACTGGTATGTCTACCCCATCCTTACCCTACATCCACTGGTATGTCTACCCCTACTTTACCCTACATCCACTGGTATGTCTACCCCTTCCTTACCCTACATCCACTGGTATGTCTACCCCTACTTTACCCTACATCCACTGGTATGTCTACCCCCACTTTACCCTACATCCGATGGCATCTCTACCCCTACTGTCCCCAGGGAGGACCAGGCGACGTGGCCTTGCAACAGGGTGGTGAGCTGCGCAGCCCTCAACAACACCGTCCACCGTCTGCCGGAGTTGGAGAGCCAAGGCGGCTTCCCACCATGCCGCTTCTACTACACCTGTAACTATGGCAACTATGCCGGGCATCAGATCTGTGGAAAAGGTCAATTTGTTATTTCAATCTCCGTAAGGCATAATAATAATACTAACAACAATATGAACAATTATAACGAGCTGAATTCCACACCACAAAGGGGTATGCACTAACATGAGAAACAAGAGGGCAGATGTATGTACAAAAAGGAAATGAAACGATGAAATAGATAGGTTTTAAGTCTTGGTTTAAGAGCTGGCAAGGAAGGGTCTAGTTAGAGGTCACGAGGGAGCGAGATCTGTCAGATTGTTGCCAAATATAAGTACGTTCTGGCACCAATGACAGCGACACATGAGAGGGATTGTTTATTGGAGAAAGAGTTTGGGGTTGTAGATAGGGTGGAGATTGGGGTTTCTGCTGGTGCTGTAGGGGTGAACCAGGTCTTGTAGATAGGGTGGAGATTGGGGTTTCTGCTGGTGCTGTAGGGGTGAACCAGGTCTTGTAGATAGGGTGGATCAGGGGTTTCTGCTGGTGCTGTAGGGGTGAACCAGGTTTTGTAGATAGGGTGGATCAGGGGTTTCTGCTGGTGCTGTAGGGGTGAACCAGGTTTTGTAGATAGGGTGGATCAGGGGTTTCTGCTGGTGCTGTAGGGGTGAACCAGGTCTTGTAGATAGGGTGGATCAGGGGTTTCTGCTGGTGCTGTAGGGGTGAACCAGGTCTTGTAGATAGGGTGGTTCAGGGGTTTCTGCTGGTGCTGTAGGGGTGAACCGGGTCTTGTAGATAGGGTGGATCAGGGGTTTCTGCTGGTGCTGTAGGGTGAACCAGGTCTTGTAGATAGGGTGGATCAGGGGTTTCTGCTGGTGCTGTAGGGGTGAACCAGGTCTTGTAGATAGGGTGGATCAGGGGTTTCTGCTGGTGCTGTAGGGGTGAACCAGGTCTTGTAGATAGGACGGATCAGGGGTTTCTGCTGGTGCTGTAGGGGTGAACCAGGTCTTGTAGATAGGGTGGATCAGGGGTTTCTGTTGGTGCTGTAGGGGTGAACCAGGTCTTGTAGATAGGGTGGATCAGGGGTTTCTGTTGGTGCTGTAGGGGTGAACCAGGTCTTGTAGATAGGGTGGATCAGGGGTTTCTGCTGGTGCTGTAGGGGTGAACCAGGTCTTGTAGATAGGGTGGAGATTGGGGTTTCTGCTGGTGCTGTAGGGGTGAACCAGGTCTTGTAGATAGGGTGGAGATTGGGGTTTCTGCTGGTGCTGTAGGGGTGAACCAGGTCTTGTAGATAGGGTGGATCAGGGGTTTCTGCTGGTGCTGTAGGGGTGAACCAGGTCTTGTAGATAGGTTGGATCAGGGGTTTCTGCTGGTGCTGTAGGGGTGAACCAGGTCTTGTAGATAGGGTGGATCAGGGGTTTCTGCTGGTGCTGTTGGGGTGAACCAGGCCTTGTAGATAGGGTGGATCAGGGGTTTCTGCTGGTGCTGTAGGGGTGAACCAGGTCTTGTAGATAGGGTGGAGATTGGGGTTTCTGCTGGTGTTGTAGGGGGTGAACCAGGTCTTGTAGATAGGGTGGATCAGGGGTTTCTGCTGGTGCTGTAGGGGTGAAACAGATCTTGTAGATGGGGTGGATCAGGGGTTTCTTGTGGATGCGCATGTATGAAAACGATAAATAACTGTCTCCCCCTACAACCCCGACCCTTCAATGAAGGCTGCCCTGAATACCATATTGGTGATTCTTTCATAAAATCCGAAATGAATAATTTGATGGAAATTCCGCTAGGTTCTGCTCTAGTAATATAATAATTAATAGAAAAAAGTTATTTTGTCTATTTTAAGTCAACATTTGTTGATGATCGGTCTTTGATTTTTCACTCACAGGTCTAGTGTACAGCGAGGGAGTCCAAAACTGCTTGAGTCCCGAATTCGTTCCCTCTCCATGCGGCACCCTTGACGCCTTTTAGATGCCCCATCGACGCTCTTGTACACGTATTAACATACCTCATTTCAAGATTCCTAATGCATTTCAATTTACAATTCAACACTTATTCTAATCTACGCAACTGAATTTCTTTGTTCGTTTCTATCTGATTTCAACTTTCTTACTGATTCATCCCCCATCCACTGCAATGCGCATGCGTGCCAGTATTGTGGGAGTTGGCGAACCTGACAGGCATGTTTGTATACTCGAACAAAGCGGAATGTCTACAATGATGGACACTTTCAAAACGTGAACTTTGTATGTAGCAGGTGTGTGTATTTTTATACTTGTTGTATATGTTACCTTTGAATAAATATCTATTGGCAATGCAAGGTGAGGGTTTATGTAGTCTTCAATGAAATAGTTGCTACAACCAGAGCCATAAGCAAGAAGGCTGGACGAACCATGGACGTTCTAACTGTGTACCCATCAGTCAAGGCCTGATCCGTAATGGCGATACATACAGGCACTGTAACGAGACAACACAGCCACTGTTTGCAGTGATACGTTTATAGTAGTAGCCCATTGTATGCCTTGCCGGATACTTGGGACGATCCCTTCTGCTACACGGAGAGCTGAGCCACGTAATGCCGAGCGTCATGCCGGCAACAATGTTAACCGTCTCTAACCACCCGGGGACATACGGCGTCCTCGGGCACTTGGACACCTTCTGGTAGCAGCAGGCGGGGGATACAGTTACAACAACCTGCATCTTATAATGTCGATGTAATTACGTGACTTCAGGTTACAGATATATACTCCCGCCAGCCACAGTAACGTGACTCTGTATTTTCCGAATACAGCAATGTACATACTACTTATATACCGCCATAGAGATGAACTGGTCATGATGATCCATGGAAGGTAAAAGGCCTTACACAGATGACACCCCCACAATGCAGAGATGAGAGAAACAAACGATCTAATCCCAAGCTCAACACACACTCTCGTAAACAAAATCAACAACGTTCACTTTCTGTGAAAGAGAGGGGATGACAGTACCACATCATCTCATATTCGCTATAAAATGTAATTTGTTCACCGTGCGACACAGGTCTGGTTGCAATGCATGCTAAACACCCCGTCTTCCATACTCCCCCTCCCCGCCCCCCCCGTCCTCCACACTCACCCCCTCATCCTCCTTTCTTTCTCACCCAGCACCGACTTGAGCTGCCAGGCGTCTCATCACCGTACACGTGTAATGCAGCCGCCATGACACCTTAGCGGACTTGTTGATTACTTTTAAATATTGCATGTTTCATGGACCTCGATAGCCAGTTGACTAACCATTGATTAATCGTAAGTCGGAACAGTTACACTGGGAGCCTTGGGTCCCGCATCCCCGGCAGGTCCCGTTCTAATAGCAGGACGTATACATAGAGTATCGCAACACCTCGTACTATCAACATGTTACCATCAACTAACAGGACGTATACATAGAGTATCGCAACACCTCCAACTATCAATATGTTACCATCAACTAACAGGAAGTATACACAGAATATCGCAACACCTCCTACTATCAATATGTTACCATCAACTAACATGACGTATACACAGAATATCGCAACACCTCCTACTATCAACATGTTACCATCAACTCACATGACGTATACACAGAATATCGCAACACCTCCTACTATCAATATGTTACCATCAACTAACATGACGTATACACAGAATATTGCAACACCTCCTACTATGAATATGTTACCATCAGCTAACATGACGTATACACAGAATATCGCAACACCTCCTACTATCAATATGTTACCATCAACTAACAGGAAGTATAAACAGAATATCGCAACACCTCCTACTATCAACTGTATGTTACCATCAACTAACAGGAAGTATACACAGAATATCGCAACACCACCTAATATCAATATGTTACCATCAACTAACATGACGTATACACAGAATATCGCAACACCTCCTACTATCAAGATGTTACCATCAACTAACAGGAAGTATTCACAGAGTATCGCAACACCTCCTACTATCAACATGTCACCATCAACTAACAGGAAGTATACATAGAGTATCGCAACACCTCGTACTGTGACCATGTTACCATCAGCTAACAGGAAGTATACACAGAATATCGCAACACCTCCTACTATCATCATGTTACCATAAACTAACAGGAAGTATGCACAGAATATCGCAACACCGCCTACTGTCATCATGTTGCCATCAGCTAACAGGAAGTATACACAGAATATCGCAACACCTCTTACTATCAACATGTGACCATCAACTAACAGGAAGTATATACAGTGTATCGCAACACCTCCTACTAGCAATATGTTACCATTACTTGCTTGGCAACGAAATATGAACCTGTGTCAAAACGTAGCATCTACCGAATAAAGAAGTTGTTTATCCATAAAGTTTGTCTGCATATTACTCCCCAGCTTGTAAACAATGCCACTCAAAGAAGACATATTGTCAATATCTGGTATACCAAGCTGCAGTAGCTTCCCTGACCCTTCTCCTCACTAACTGTGTCAGACATTGAACCTGACGTTGACATATGAAGGATGCCTCTGACGTATCCCGCCACCCATCATGTCGCAAATATTCTGTATGGGACTTGCACTCCTGGTCAGCTAACAACGAGATGCTACCGCCTCTTGACGTAGGGATCACCAACGACAAGTGCACGATGTTGCCCAACATTGTCGTCCACGAAGACTGGCCTTGTGGTCAGAGGATGGTCAGCGAAATGTGGTATAACAACCTTGCCTAGGATGGTTAGGTTTTGTCTGGTCGTCACATGGTCCAGTTTGCCGCCATGTGAGAGACAACGCCTCCACCCTATGAGTTGTCTCCCGTTGTCGACTGCTGATAGTCCTTAACATTTTTACTATACTGATGTTTTCTGGTCAATCGATGGATGCCAACCAACATGTCTTGCAATAGCCCTCAGTGATATGCCGGCATTCTGCACACAAGTACCAATAACTTGCCATGATTGAGCAGTTGACAGTTGAGAAGGCATCATATTTGCTTATCAACAAAGCACTCAACAGATATTCCAAGTTAATGATCTACGAGGACAGTTTACTGAATCTTGATGTTTGATGTATGCCGGGTACACGTATTGCACTGGAGATGCCCACGACCGAAGCACGTGCATATATGGGCAAGGACCTTTACTGAACGTGGACCAGCAGTAGACTCCTCCATCTTGATCTGTTGTCACGCCCCAGTTAACCCTAAGTTTGCCGACATTTACTTTAGATCTATGAATAACTGCATAAGTATTGACTGTCGACGAGAGGCACTGGGTGGAGATTTGTGGCAGTTATATTAGATGTACACGTATAAGTAAATATCGATGAGAGAAGTTCGATGAACGACATGGGTTGTTTTGATCATGGTCTATATGAAATTTGTCCTGACAATACGGCACATTTGCTGAACCACAACCAAAAACAACCCGTAGCACAAGGTTACAATACAATATCTCACCAACAAAAGACGGACACAATGAACGCCCCTGTAATTGAAGAGGGGATAATATTCTGTTGTCAATGCCGCCTGTCTTGTCTGTGGGGTATTCATCTCGACCACCGATATACACTAACCAAACTCAAACCTTACATGCGGGATCTCTCACCTCAAACAGTTCAAAGATAGCCAGTAACTATCATTAGTACACTGTGTGGCGTGCAAACACAGGCCTGTCTCACTCGTCGCTGTTGTAACCCACGTATGATGTGTATCCCGGTGTTCGTGTCAAAAGTCTGTTCGTGATCAGTGAATATTATCTTGTACTCCATCTACACAGGTGTTCATTAGACGAGCTTCTCAGGCAGCCTACGGTATTGATATTGTACCTGGTGCTAATCGATAGTCCATTACCCAACGCCTGCTCAAATAGGACCCAATATACGGGAAGACATTGTTTCATATGGGCCTCAGGACTGGAAGGTAGGTGGAAGGTTTGTTGCTTCCTGAGATCTTCGGCGTTACAAGAGTGGATTTAAGATTCAGGATGTAACTCTGGCTTGATGATGGCTGTGCCTCCAACGCCATCGTAACCATCACCAACATCAACTATGTTTTGCGGAATCAGGCTTCAGTGTTGACGTACAGTTTCAAGGCATAGGTGGGGGTCTATCGGGGGCACTTATCTCTGTGTATTGGGACACTTACCTCCGTGTATCGGGGAGACTTATCTCCGTGTATGGGGGAGACTTATCTCCGTGTATTGAGGAGACGTATCTCCGTGTATGGGGGACACTTATTGCCGTTTATGGTGGACACTATTCTCTGTGTATCGGGACACTTATCTCCGTGTATCTTGACACATATCTCTGTGTATCGGGGACAAATATCTCCGTTTATCGGGAGACCTATCTCCTTGTATCTGGACACTTATCTCCGTGTATGGGGGACACATGTCTCCGTGTATCGGGGAGACTTGTCTCAGTGTATCGGGGACATTTATCTCCGTGTATTGGGGAGACTTATCTCCGTGTATCGGGACACTTATCTCCATTTTTCGGGCAGGCGTCTCTCCGTGTATGTGGAAACTTATCTCCGTGTATGGGGGACACTTATCTCCGTGTATGGGGGAGACTTATCTCTGTGTATCAGGATACTTATCTCCTTGTATCAGGACACTTATCTCCTTGTATCTGGACACTTAACTCCATGTATGGGGGACATTTATCTCAGTGTATCGGGGAAACTTATCTCCGTGTATTGGGACACTTATCTCCGTGTATAGGAGACACTTATCTTCGTGTATCGGGACACTTATCTCCGTGTATCGGGGACACTTATCTCCGTGTATTGGGAAGAGTTATATCCGGGTATCGGGGAGACGTATCTCCGTGTATCGGGGAGACTTATCTTCGTGTATTGAGAGTGTCCACTGGTCGAGAATTAGGGAAAGAATAGAGTTTAGATTTTAACTCTAACTTACCAAGTACTAAATGGAACTGCTCCACGCTATCTCCAAGCCCTTGTCTCACCCTACGTCCCACCGAGGAATCTCAGATCTGCCGATCAATCACTTATTGTTGTGCCTCCATATAAACTCAAAACTTTCGGACATAGATTCTTCAAACATTCAGCTGCTTGCCTGTGGAACTCTCTCCCTACAGACATCAAATCTGCTCCCGCTCTCTCAAGTTTCAAATCTCATCTAAAGACATTTCTTTTTCTTCGCTACTGACTGTCTTGTGTTTGCGCTTAGAGCATGGCCAAGTGTTGTGGAGTCAAGCGCATTACAAATGATCTATATTATGATCTATATTATCTCCGTGTATCGGGGAGACTTATCTCCCTGTATCGGGACACTAATCTCCGTGTATGGGGACACTTATCTCCGTGTATGGGGGAGACTTATGTTTGTGTTTAAGGGACAGATATCTCTGCGTATCAGGGAGACGTATCTCCTTGTATTGGGGACACTTATCTCCGTGTATGGGGAACACTTATATTCGCGTATCGGGACACTAATCTCCGTGTATTGGGGATACTTATCTCCGTGTATCAGAAACACTTATCTCCGTGTATTGAGGAGACTAATCTCAGCGTATTTGGAACACTTATCTCCGTGTATCGGGACACTAATCTCCGTGTATCAGAGACGCTTATCTCCGTGTATGGGGGACACTTATCTCCGTGTATCAGGTACACTTATCTCCGTGTATCAGGGACACTTATCTCCGTGTATCAGAGACACTTATCACTGTGTATAGGGGAGTCTAATCCCTGTGTATGTGGGAGACGTATCTCCGTGTATCGGGACACTTATTCCCATGAATCGGTTCACTTATCTCCGTGTATGGGGACACCTATCTCCGTGTATCGGGACACTTATCCCCATGTATCGGGACACTTATCTCCGTGTAAAGGGACACTTATCTCTGTGTATCCTACTTGCTAGCAATGCTTTCATGTTTCCTGCATCACTAAGGTCCGTCTGGGGCCCCCATTGTGTCCAAATCATCAGTGTTGTAGCCACGTCAATCAGTCTTCGAAGGGAAGACGGCGACACCTCACACGCTACAGGCACATGGAAGGAGATAGTGTCTCCAGACCCATGGTTGCTATGTATGGCAAGAAGGCATATGGTCTACTTTCTGTTACTGTACGCTGACGACTTCTGAAGACGTCCCTCGCCACCGGTCGATGTCGTACTCACAGATTTCAATTGTTACCATAACGTTTGTTTGCCTTCTCAATGACTGCGTAATTACAAGTATTGATCAGTTGTGTATAGAGAGCGACGCGCTGGGGGAACTGGGTGGTCTCTGTATGATAACATCAGTATCAAACAGACATTTCAATATTACTTTTCCTGCCTGATACCTTGAAGATTCGTCACGCTTGACAAACGAGCTGCACAATACACACTCAATCAGGCAGCGATTGCTGGAGTTAATCCGTGAAGTAGAACCATGGCGTTAAGCTCGGGGACGGGGCCAACTGGTCATATGTTATGCATCTACCCACGGATTGAGAACTGAAATACTCACATCTATTACGAACCTAGCTACGCTGGTCGGTTGTCACGTGTGTGCTGGATGTGTTCCAGGTGATTGGTTCGAGGTGGGCTGCTGTGTGGTATCCAGGTCTTCTGTCGGCGGCCACCTTCCGGGAACAGCGTCTCCGGGGAACGCTGTTTGTGAGCAGCCATCAGTTGGAGGGAACACTGGAGGGACTGTACGTCAGTGTGTACAAGGTAAGGACACATGATAGCACGACGTGGAGTATGACAGAGTTCCCTGTTGAAGCTATTGCTGTCTATGTGATTAAACCAACACTGTGATGCATTAGTATTACTAGAGGAGATTGGATTCAAACTGACACGAGCCATTTACATGGGTACCTACGGGCGAAGCATGAATGTCCCAGTTATTCGCACTAGTCAGTTTCATGTTATTACACAAAAAATCTACTGTTAAGGAAAATCATAGTGTGTATATCCGTATTTGGTTCACTCGGAGCAGGTTTAATGCTTGAGAGTTTCCCAGGCCTGGTTTGTACCCCTTGACTTCCGTGTTTGTATCACTTGACGTCCGTGTTTGTAACCCTTGATGTCCGTGTTTGTATCACTTGACGTCCGTGTTTGTACCCATTGATGTTCGTGTTTGTACCCCTTGAGGTCCGTGTTTGTACCCCTTGACGTCCGACTTGCCTGTATTACTTGGTGAGGAAATATACTTGGATAAACAGGTATTGTATGGCAAATATAATGAGTATACCTTGACATAGACACTTTGGTACAACATAATTAATATACATGGATATACACATGGATTCTTAGGAAAATATGGACAAGACACCTGGAGAGGGGCTTATGCATAATATTCCGGACATAGCCATGTGATACGTGGTATGATGTAGTTAATATACTGGGACACAGACATCTGATACTTGATAGAATGTAGTTAATATACCGGGACACAGACATGTGAGGTAAGGTGAAATTGGGTTTAACATCGTGCTTGAGAATATTTCGCTCATATGACACCGTGCATGAGTGTGTATATGTATGTGCGGCTGCTTGTACTAGCCCAGACTTAAGCTGGTTTTATAGTGCTAACCCACCGATATACCATACCGCAGTGAAGCATTAATACCCGACTCAGACTCATTATACTGTCTCCGAGCCGACCAGTCCTTGTTGTACCCATAAAGGCCGAGCGCTAGGCTGGGACCAACAAGTACCATATTTTAACGTCGTTTGGTATGAGGCGGTCGGGGATCGACCCCTCGACCTTCCGCTCTCCCGGCGGACGCTCTAACCACTACACCACGGAGGCGGTCCATAGACATGTGATACGTGGTATGATATAATTAATATACTGGGACATAGACATGTGATACGTGGTATGATGTAGTTAATATACCTGGACATAGACATGTGATACGTGGCATGATGTAGTTAATATACCTGGACATGTGATACGTGGTATGATGTAGTTAATATACTGGGACATAGACATGTGATACGTGGTATGATGTAGTTAATATACTGGGACATAGACATGTGATACGTGGTATATGATAGATTAATATACTGGGACATAGACATGTGATACGTGGTATGATATAATTAATATACTGGGACATAGACATGTGATACGTGGTATGATGTAGTTAATATACTGGGACATAGACATGTGATACGTGGTATGATGTAGTTAATATACTGGGACATAGACATGTGATACGTGGTATGATGTAATTAATATACTGGGACATAGACATGTGATACGTGGTATGATGTAGTTAATATACTGGGACATAGACATGTGATACTTGGTAGTTGATATGTAGATTAATATGGAGGTTGAATAACTTATAGTCATGATATAGACGCTGACAATGGGTGTTGAAGAATCAAAGTGACACCTGATAGAATCATAGAGAGAAACATCGGGTGAACCATGAGAAAGAAACACAGGGCGAAACAGGGGAGAGAATCATAATGTGACACATGAAAGAAAATATCACAGTTAAAATGGGGAGAATCTTAAAGTGAGACATGAGTGACAGTCATAGGGGGAGAATCTTAAAGTGAGACATGAGTGACAGTCATAGGGTGAGAATGTTAAAGTGAGACATGAGTGACAGTCATAGGGGGAGAATCTTAAAGTGAGACATGAAAGAAAATATCACAGTTAAAATGGGGAGAATCTTAAAGTGAGAGACGAGTGACAGTCATAGGGTGAGAAACTGGGGGAAGCATGGCAGGAAGCATAGTGTAGACATAGTGGGGAATTATCAGGTGAAACATTGTTTGAAATATTACAATTAATTAGAAGGATTACCTCAAAGTCACCGACAGTATACGTAATAGAGACATGACTCAAACCCGTGGTCCCCCAAATCACCCCCCTCTTTGTGCATCCCACCTTTGTCAGCCCACCCTGCCTCTGTCATTCCACCCCGCCTCTGTCATTCCACCCCGCCTCTGTCAGCCCACCCTGGCCGTGTCAGCCCACCCTGCCTCTGTCAGCCCACCCCGCCTCTGTCATCCCGACCCGCTTCTGTCATCCCACCCCTGCCTCTGTCATCCCACCCCGCCTCTGTCATTCCACCCCGCGTCTCTGTCATCCCACCCCGCCTCTGTCATTTCCACCCCGCCTCTATCAGCCCAACACGCCTCTGTCAGCCCAACACGCCTCTGTCAGCCCACCCCGGCCGTGTCAGCCCACCCCGCCTCTGTCATTCCACCCCCGCCTCTGTCATTCCACCCCGCCTCTGTCAGCTCACCCCGCCTTTGTCAGCCCACCCCGCCTCTGTCAGCCCACCCTGCCTCTGTCAGCCCACTCTGCCTTTGTCAGCCCACCCCGCCTCTGTCAGCCCACCCCGCCTCTGTCAGCTCACCCCACCTTTGTCAGCCCACCCTGCATTTGTCAGCTCACCCCGCCTTTGTCAGCCCACCCTGCATTTGTCAGCCCACCCTGCATTTGTCAGCCCACCCCGGCCGTGTCAGCCCACCCCGCCTCTGTCATTCCACCCCTGCCTCTGTCAGCCCACCCCGCCTCTGTCAGCCCACCCCGCCTCTGTCAGCCCACCCCGCCTCTGTCAGCTCACCCCGCCTTTGTCAGCTCACCCCGCCTTTGTGAGCCCACCCTGCCTCTGTCAGCCCACTGTGCCTTTGTCAGCCCACCCCGCCTCTGTCAGCCCACCCCGCCTCTGTCAGCCTCACCCCGCCTCTGTCAGCCCACCCCGCCTCTGTCAGCCCACCCCAGCCCTGTCAGCCCACTCCTGCCTCTGTCAGCCCACCCCTGCCTCTGTCAGCCCACCCCGCCTTTGTCAGCCCACCCCGCCTTTGTCAGCTCACCCCGCCTTTATCAGCCCTTCACCCTTCTGTCAGCCCACCCCGCCTCTGTCAGCCCACCCCCGGCCCTGTCAGCCCACCCCGGCCCTGTCAGCCCACTCCTGCCTCTGTCCGTCCATCCCGCCTCTGTCAGGCCACCCCGCCTTTGTCAGACCACCCCGGCCCTGTCCGCCCACCCTGCCTCTGTCAGCCCACCCCGCCTTTGTCAGCCCACCCCGGCCCTGTCCCCCCAACCCGCCTCTGTCAGCCCATTCCCACTTTGTTAGCCCACCACGCCTCTGTCAGCCCACCTCGTCTTTGTCAGCCCACCAGGGCCCTGTCCACCCAACCCGCCTCTGTCAGCTCGCCCCGCTTTTGTAAGCCCACCCCCCCATCTTTGTCAGCCCACCCCGCCTCTGTCAGCCCATCCCCCTCTGTCAGCCCACCCCGGCCCTGTCCGCCCACCCCGCCTCTGTCAGCCCATTCCCACTCTGTTAGCCCACCCCACCTTTGTAAGCCCACCTCGCCTCTGTCAGGCCACCACTCCATATTCTAAGAACAATGTATGCGATCCCCGTCTGCGTGTAATTGGGCACATATAGATGGTGTATATTTACAACTTCACCATGCATTACAACTCACACAAAGCTCTCCTGGCAACGATATGAAGATTTGTCTTTAATCGTATACCATCGATCACTGATATTGCTTGTGGACACTTGACCATTACAAACATAATACAATCAATTTCGGCCGGACCTGGAGATCAAGAGCGACATGTGTATGTAAGATATTTAGGTCGGAAGAGAGATATTTGAACTGGTTCTGACAATATAATTAATGTATACAGCTTGAATTGCCATTTGCCAAACACTTGACATTTGAAGGGGCGCTCGTGATACAATAGAGGGTTAGGTGGGTATGGATGTCAAGACGAGGCCTCGACAAAACCAGGAAATGGCGTGAGGCAACAGCTACTATTCATTTTGCCATAGACGTATTAACAATACACACTAGTTAACTTTTGCTTGCATGGAAATAATTAGATAAGTACGTATGTGCAAACCCCATTATCACCCGCTTGCAGCAGAACCTGCCCAGGTAATCACTGAAGCCCAATCAGCCACCGTCAGGCTGAAGTGAGGTTCCTGTATTGATTATATGCGAACTATGCTTGGTTCGGGCCAGAGGTCGAGTATTCAGTTGCCCGATGTGGGGTACTCATCCGATTTCAACTCGTCAACACGTACACTCGGTGGGACTGACAACACGCATCCGCCAGGAGGTAGCTCATTCCGTTCATGTTTAAGTCTGCCCTCTTCTCTTATTGATGACCGTGAACACAATATGCTCCCACAGCCTCTCCACGGGGGAATGAGGGATACCACTGCAAGCATCAGTACGTAGGAGACACACACTCCATTGTTGACATCCACGCCGTTCAGTGGCAGTTCATCAGAAGGGTGACATCAACACCGTTCAGTGGCAGCTCATCAGAAGGGTGACATCAACACCGTTCAGTGTCAGTTCATCAGAAGGGTGACATCCACGCCGTTCAGTGGCAGCTCATCGGAAGGGTGACATCAACACCGTTCAGTGTTAGCTCATCAGAAGGATGACATCCACGCCGTTCAGTGGCAGTTCATCAGACGGGTGACATCCACGGCATCCAGTGGCAGTTCATCAGAAGTGTGACTTCTGGGGATGTTTTGCGTCGCTGGAAAGTTGCATTTTCTCATCAGTGGGATGTGTTCTTACATTAACAAGCATTGAAGCAGGAAACACTTATGTGGGGTTATGTTTGGATATTCAGCAGGAACAGACAGCGACCTTTAGAAGGCCTGGTCGGGAGTGTAACTCACGCGGAATTAGCATCACGTGTCTACACGTGTCTACACGTGAGACTATTCCTACTGAGATATTAGATTGCTCTATTCAGGGGAGATGAGGTTGAACACTACACCGAGTAGAAGCTCAGAAAGTCCCTGCCAGTAGTGATTAAATCTGTAGTTTACTGAGACAATTTAATCCCAAATAAACAATGTCTGACATCTGATGACTTTCTGAAAGGTGTATATATGTGTTAGATGATCTGCTCATACACCTATCATCCATAACACTGAACATTGGAAATGTTATCACTCTGCTATATTACTGCTTCATTGCATTTGTGTGATGTCACAGTGTGTCCTCGGTGTGTGATGTCACAGTGTGACCTTTGTTTGTGACGTCACAGTGTGTCCTCGGTGAGTGATGTTACAGTGTGTCCTCGGTGTGTGATGTCACAGTGTCCTCGGTGTGTGAGGTAACAGCGTGTCCTTTGTGTGTGAAGTCACAGTGTGTCCTAGAGGAGTGATGTCACAGTGTGTCATTTGTGTGTGATGCCACAGAGTGTCCTCGGTGTGTGATGTCACAGTGTGTTCTTGATGTGTGATGTCACAGTGTGTCCTGTGTATGCGATGGCAGTGTGTCCTCGGTGTGTGATGTCACAGTGTGTTCTTGATGTGTGATGTCACAGTGTGTCATTTGTGTGTGATGGCAGTGTGTCCTAGGTGTGTGATGTCACAGTGTGTCCTCGGTGTGTAAAGTTACAGTGTGTCCTGTGTGTGTGTTGTTACAGTGTGTCCCCGGTGTGTGATGTCACAGTGTGTTTTAGTGTGTGATGTCACAGTGTGTCCTCGGTGTGATGTCACAGTGTGTCCTCGGTGTGTGTTGTCACAGTGTGTCTTCGGTGTGTGAAGTTACAGTGTTTCCTCTGTGTGTGTGTGTGTGTTGTTACAGTGTGTCCCCGGTGTGTGATGTCACAGTGTGTCTTCGGTGTGTGATGTCACAGTGTGTCTTCGGTGTGTGATGTCACAGTGTGTCCTCGGTGTGTGATGTCACAGTGTGTCCTCGGTGTTATGTCACAGTGTGACATCTGTGTTACGTCTATGTGTGTTGGGTGTTGTGATGTTGTTTTCAAGCGTGCTATTGTCTCACCATAAATGTGATTGTTAGCGCAAAACTGCTCATGTCTCATCTAGTGGTTTGTCCCGGCCTACAGATGTAATAGCAAGTTTAAATTTATAGTAAATCAGCAGCCACTACCCAGACTCATCAGAGCGGCCAGCGGGTCGGCCGTTGACCTGTAACACTGGCCAGTGGAAAGACCACGACGACATAAGGCGATGTCCGACCAATCGTTCTGCCGTCGTCAGTCCATTACAAACCAGTAGCAGAGTATCTCTCGCCAGCCGGGTGTTACACACATGCGTGTAACCAGGAGAGCAGAGCCCTCCTCTATTGAGGCAAATCAGTGTACTTAAGTGTAACCATGCCAGGATATTATGGGAGCTTGAGGTGATTAAGGATTTAGGGTATTAAGCCAGGATTAACCCGTCAACAAGGGAGGCGTTGAGTAACGTTGACGTCATGCACGAAACATCTGTGTAGCGACTGAACTAACGACAGAGGGAGAAACTGGACGTATAATGTGTTCCATGTGGAAGAGAGTGAGCTGCTATTCTGCTCTGTGTTTATTGTGTGTTGCAACTGTGATCTATCCGCCGCTCTGTCTACCCTGTTTCAAAACTTCTATATGTTGTGTTGCTTGGAACTTAGTGCTGTGTGTCACGGAGGGTGTTGTGTGATGTCTATTGTGTTGCATGGCATCTACTGTGTTGCATGACATCTATTGTGTTGCATGACATCTATTGTGTTGCATGACATCTATTGTGTTGCATAACATATATTGTGTTGCATGACATATATTGTGTTGCATGACATCTACTATGTTGCATGGATCTACTATGTAGCATGACATGTATTGTGTTCCATGACATATACTGTGTTGCATGGCATCTACTGTGTTGCATGGCATCAACTGTGTTGCATGACATCTACTGTGTTGCATGACATCTACTGTGTTCCGTGGCATACACTGTGTTCCATGACATCTACAGAGTTCCACGGCAAACATTGTGTTGCATGACATCTATTGTGTTGCATGACATTATTGTGTTGCATGACATCTATTGTGTTGCATGACATCTGCTGTGTTCCATGACATCAACTGTGTTCCATGACATCAACTGTGTTGCATGACACCTATTGTGCTGCATGAAACCTATTATGTTGCATGACATCTATTGTGTTCCATGACATCTATCGTGTTGCTTGACATCTATTATGCTGCATGACATCTTCTATGTTGCATCACATCTATTATGTTACATGACATCTACTGTGTTGCATGATATATATTGTGTTCCATGATATTTACTGTGTTGCATGACATCTATTGTGTTGCATGACATCTATTGTGCTGCATGACATCTACTGTGTCACATGACATCTAGTGTTCTGCATGACTTTTATTGTGTTGCATGACATCTACTGTGTTGGATGATATATATTGTGTTGCATGGCATCTGTTGTGTTGCATAACATATATTGTGTTGCATGACATCTATTATGTTGCATGGCATCAACTGTGTTGCATGACATCTACTGTGTTGCATGACATCTACTGTGTTCCGTGACATATACTGTGTTCCATGACATCTACGGCGTTCAATGGCATACATTGTGTTGCATGACATATATTGTGTTGCATGACATCTATTGTGTTGCGTGACATCTATTGTGTTGCATGACATCTACTGTGTTCCGTGACATATACTGTGTTCCATGACATCTACGGCATTCAATGGCATACATTATGTTGCATGACATATATTGTTTTGCATGACACCTATTGTATTTTATGAAACCTATTATGTTGCATGACATCTATTGTGTTCCATGACATCTATTGTGTTGCTTGACATCTATTATGTTGCATGACATATACTGTGTTGCACGATATATATTGTGTTGCACGATATATATTGTGTGCATGATATTTACTGTGTTGCATGACATCTATTGTGTTGCATGACATCTACTGTGTCACATGACATCTATTGTGTCGCATGGCATCTATTGTGTTGCATGACATCTATTGTGTTGCATGGCATATATTGTGTTGCATGACATCTATGTGTTGCATGGCATATATTGTGTTGCATGACATCTATTGTGTTGCATGATACCTACTGTGTCGCATGACTTCTATTGTGTCGCATGACATCTATTGTGTTCCATGACATCTATCGTTTTGCATGGCATGTATTGTGTTGCATAACACCTTATGTGTTGCATGACATCTATTGTGTTGCATGACATCTATTGTGTTGCATGACATATATTGTGTTCCATGACATCTATTGTGCTGCATGACATCTACTGTGCTGCATGACTTCTATTGTGCTGCATGGCATCTATTGTGTTGCATGACATCTACTGTGTCGCATGACTTCTATTGTGTTGCATGACTTCTATTGTGTTGCATGGCATCTATTGTGTTCCATGACATCTATTGTGTTCCATGACATCTGTTGTTTTGCATGGCATTTATTGTTTTGCATAACACCTTATGTGTTGCATGACATCTATTGTGTTGCATGACATCTACTGTGTTGCATGATATATATTGTGTTGCATGATAGTTACTGTGCTGCATGGCATCTATTGTGTTGCATGACATCTACTGTGTCGCATGACATCTATTGTGTTGCATGACATCTAATGTGTTGCATGATATATATTGTGTTGCATGATATTTACTGTGTTGCATGGCATCTATTGTGTTGCATGACATCTACTGTGTCGCATGACATCTATTGTGTCGCATGACTCCTATTGTGTTGCATGACATCTATTGTGTTGCATGACACCTACTGTGTCGCATGACTTCTATTGTGTTGCTTGACATCTACTGTGTTGCATGAGTTCTATTGTGTTGCATGACATCTATTGTGTTGCATGACTTCTATTGTGTCGCATGACTTCTATTGTGTTGCATGACATCTATTGTGTTGCATAACACCTTCTGTGTCACATGACTTCTATTGTGTTGCATGACATCTACTGTGTCGCATGACATCTAGTATATTGCATGACTTCTATTGTATAACATGACATCTACTGTGTCGCATGACTTCTATTGTGTTGCATGACATCTATTGTGTTGCATGACTTCTATTGTGTTGCATGACTTCTACTCTTTTTATGCCATATACTGTGTTGCATGCCATCTATTGTGATGGATGCCATCTATTGTGTTGCATGCCATCTACTGTGTTGCATGCCATCTATTGTGATGCATGGTATCTATTGTGATGCATGCCATCTACTGTGTTGCATGCCATCTATTGTGATGCATGCCATCTACTTTGTTGCATGCCATCTATTGTGATGCATGACATCTATTGTGTTGCATGCCATCTATTATGTTGCATGCCATCTTTTGTGATGCATGCCTTCTACTGTGTTGCATGCCATCTATTGTGATGCATGACATCTATTGTGTTGCATGACATCTATTATGTTGCCTGCCATCTTTTGTGATGCATGCCTTCTACTGTGTTGCATGCCAAATATTGTGTTGCATGACTTCTGCTGTTTTACATGCCATCTACTGTGTTGCATGACATCTATTGTGATGCATGACATCTGCTGTGCTCTGATATATAGTGTGATGTTTCATTCAGTGCTGTGTGACTCGCGCTATTACCTATCACTGATCCTGTCAAAATGTGTATTTCTACTGATTCCATGCTGTGGGCGTTTACAGTGTCAAAGACACTCCAGCCACAAACCTGGCTACCAAAAGTAGAAGATCAGGTTACGTATTTTTAGAAAGCACTCACCAACGAAATCAACTATTCAAATGTTTGCCACCAGCATCCTTAGATGGGCGGCTAACTGTCACAAGAATCTAGAACCATTCGAATGTTACGTTGTTCAAATCACGTGTTTTGTTGCAGATGATGGTTCCCGTGCAGTGTATCGGTCAGCTCTGTGAGTGTCACGTGGTATGAAGGCAATGGATGGGGTGAAGACCTATTACTTCCCGAACATCACCACCACTGCTGTCCCGAGAGTCGCCTCTATACGTCCAGCCGTGACCACGGTCAGCTCGTGCGTCATCGATACCCCCCGCGATGACGGTCAGAGACAACGAGAGACCCTTTGGTCATTCCAGAAACAACACCGGGGAGTGAAAGGTCAAGGAGACACCCTCCCCAACATTCCCTTCCGGTTGAGGTCAACTGAGATTGAAAGTCAAGGAGACGTTAATTTTCTGGATAGTTTCATGAGTGGGACATTCACGGACGGTTCGCTGATGCGACAGTTGACCCGAACCCGGACTAACCTACAAACAAGGGACGCAATACCGTCACTGAAGGGCGAGGTGGGGGTGTTCGGAAAGGGAATAAACATTCCATTGACCAAATCTCTGAGATTATGCTCGAGAGAAAAGCGCAAAGGTCGACACCATAGTTCAGGCTTCACCACAGAGAGGCTTCCACGCATGTCAGGTCAGAACGAGTCTTGTGACGGAATCAAAAAGACGTCCTCCGAAATGGACGTTCGTCAGGAGATCCCAGGCAGGCCGCCGTCGAATATCAGTGATGGGGACAGTAGTTCACTGGTGGACGTTAACTCGGACAATATTGGCCACACGACTCACTGCTCGACAGACACCCGCCGGACACTCGCCGACATCCTCAACCGCCACGACAACTCCCGCTATCAGGATCTCAGCCGGAAGGCTTTAGAGGGCTCCTCCTTCAGTCAAACAGTCCCGACAAGTGTTTCTAATTCCGGACCCAATAAACAATGGATAAACAAATTTGAAATGAAAATTGTTGATGGTGATGCGTATGACAACTTCGCCAGGACCCGCAAGCCCGACAGTGATAAGGACACGACAAAGGGGGACTCGAAATCAGTTAAACGACCTTACAATCAGCGATCTTCTGACCTTGAGCTGTTGAAGCCGTCAGAGGTAAACTGTAATACTGTTACTCAGAAAGACGGAAGCCCAGTCCGTAAAATAGCTGTTGCTACGAGCAAAACAACCAAACATACAAAGCTTAGATTATCCCTGTCAAACAGTAGATCCATTGAATAAAAGCTTTCATTGCTGCAGTTCAACAAAAATATGTGAATTGTTTACAATCTGGGTATCGGCTTGGACTATGTCTTAGTCTATATGGGGGTGAACTGATTATAATCCGGGTATCGGCGTAGACTATGTATAAAACAGGTACGGGGTATTTCTTATCCGGGTATGAGGTAAACTATTTATCATCTGGGTATGGGGTAAACTAATGAATTGTCCGGGTATAGAGTGGACTGCTTATTATCCGGATATGGGGTCAACTTTATTATCCGGGAAGGGGGTAGACTAATTCTTATCCGGGTGTGGGTTTAGAATATTTATTATCCAGGTATTCATCATCCAGGTATCCGGGTGTGGGTGTAGACTATCTAGTATTTGGGTAAAGAAGTAGGCCCTTTATGTATGTAGAATATTGATTATCCGGGTATGGGGAAAACTATTTATCTTCCGGGTGTAGGTGTAGACTATCTAGTATATGGGTAAAGAAGTAGGACCTTTATGTATGTAGAATATTGATTATCCGGGTATGGGGTGGACTATGTATTATCCGGGTATGGGGAAGACTATTTATCTTCCGGGTGTGGGTGTAGACTATCTAGTATATGGGTAAAGAAGTAGGCCCTTTATGTATGTAGAATATTGATTATCTGGGTATGGGGAAGACTATTTATCTTCCGGGTGTGGGTGTAGACTATCTAGTATATGGGTAAAGAAGTAGGCCCTTTATGTATGTAGAATATTGATTATCTGGGTATGGGGAAGACTATTTATCTTCCGGGTGTGGGTGTAGACTATCTAGTATATGGGTAAAGAAGTAGGACCTTTATGTATGTAGAAAATTGATTATCCGGGTATGGGGAAGACTATTTATCTTCCGGGTGTGGGTGTAGACTATCTAGTATATGGGTAAAGAAGTAGGCCCTTTATGTATGTAGAATATTGATTATCTGGGTATTGGGTAGACTATTTATCTTTCGGGTGTGGGTGTAGACTATCTAGTATATGGGTAAAGAAGTAGGCCCTTTATGTATGTAGAATATTGATTATCTGGGTATTGGGTAGACTATTTATCTTTCGGGTGTGGGTGTAGACTATCTAGTATATGGGTAAGAAGTAGGCCCTTTATGTATGTAGAATATTGATTATCTGGGTATTGGGTAGACTATTTATCTTTCGGGTGTGGGTGTAGACTATCTAGTATATGGGTAAAGAAGTAGGCCCTTTATGTATGTAGAATATTGATTATCTGGGTATTGGGTAGACTATTTATCTTCCGGGTGTGGGCGTAGACTATCTAGTATATGGGTAAAGAAGTAGGACCTTTATGTATGTAGAATATTGATTATCTGGGTATTGGGAAGACTATTTATCTTCCGGGTGTGGGTGTAGGCTATCTAGTATATGGGTAAAGAAGTAGGCCCTTTATGTATGTAGAATATTGATTATCCGGGTATGGGGAAGACTATTTATCTTCCGGATGTGGATGTAGACTATCTAGTATATTTGTAAAGAAGTAGGACCTTTATGTATGTAGAATATTGATTATCTGGGTATTGGGTAGACTATTTATCTTCCGGATGTGGGTGTAGACTATCAAGTATATGGGTAAAGAAGTAGGCCCTTTATGTATGTAGAATATTGATTATCTGGGTATTGGGTAGACTATTTATCTTCCGGATGTGGGTGTAGACTATCTAGTATATGGGTAAAGAAGTAGGCCCTTTATGTATGTAGAATATTGATTATCTGGGTATTGGGTAGACTATTTATCTTCCGGGTGTGGGCGTAGACTATCTAGTATATGGGTAAAGAAGTAGGACCTTTATGTATGTAGAATATTGATTATCTGGGTATTGGGTAGACTATTTATCTTCCGGGTGTGGGTGTAGACTATCTAGTATATGGGTAAAGAAGTAGGACCTTTATGTATGTAGAATATTGATTATCTGGGTATGGGGTAGACTATTTATCTTCCGGATGTGGGTGTAGACTATCTAGTATATGGGTAAAGAAGTAGGACCTTTATGTATGTAGAATATTGATTATCTGGGTATTGGGTAGACTATTTATCTTCCGGATGTGGGTGTAGACTATCTAGTATATGGGTAAAGAAGTAGGACCTTTATGTATGTAGAATATTGATTATCTGGGTATTGGGTAGACTATTTATCTTCCGGGTGTGGGCGTAGAAATAGTATTATCCGGATATGGGGTGGAATATCCGACATGGGGAAGACTATTTACTACCCTGGTATCAGGGTAGACTGTTGATCATCTGGGTATGTGGCTGGACTATGTACTTTGGGAGGATAATGTTTGAAAACAAATGAGCGGAACCTCGTCATTTTACAGCGACAATATGTGATCAGGACAAAAAGGGCATTTAAGCAGACAATATGTTTCGTATTATGTAAATACCTAGGATTGAAATAGTTAGTTTGCCATTTTTTTCTGCAATCAACAGAAAATGACAACTACTCATGACCCAGAATTCCCGACTTCTGTGGACTAAATGTGACCTGGTGGTCCCGTTGATACAACGTCAAACATCCCCCGTTCTGTGGCGCGGATGGACGTCTCGGCACACACAGTGGGGGATTATGTTCGCATCAAACGTGATAGTAATGGAATGTTCAGTAAAGTGTCGACGATCCAGTGTACTGCGTCTTCATAGCTTGGAGGGATAGCTTCGCGGCGGATATTGTCTTGTAACTTGGAGGAATGTGTCTTCTAACCCTAGGTCACAAGCTTGTGTCCCATGATGACCCACACAATATGGAGGCCGTTAATCAAACCCTCAGCAGCCATTACACCTGCTACAGTTTGTAAGGTGCGAGGAAATTAAAATTCACTTTCGATTTTTTAAATTAAAAGCTTGATACTGCCGGTTACAGTTGGTTACTAGTTTCCATACCAAGTCTGTCTGTCTGTCTTGTACATCTTTACTCAGTAATGTTTTACTCACAATTTGTACATCGACACCCATGTTCTCACATATTCAAACAATAGAAACCACATGATAGTTCTATAACATAAGTCTTGAATTTATACAGCGCTGCTGATTCGACGTCAAGTCGATGCTTCACCAAGCATGTTTATATATCTCGGCGTCAAGTCGATGCTTCACCAAGCATGTTTATATATCTCGGCGTCAAGTCGATGCTTCACCAAGCATGTTTATATATCTCGGCTTGTACGACTTCTTATCCAGCAACTAAGGCATGTCTTTACTATTCAGCTGAGGGACATCGAAACATGGCACTTAGGGCATGTCCCATCTATCAATGTGACCTAAAACACAAGGTGTTGACAATGCATGGTAACCCGGATGTAGATGTTGGTTTACATGTCATCATCACACATTCTCGCGATCTCTCATTCTCGCACTTTTAGCATTTTCACCTTGTTTCCAAAGGTCGAGATTGCGAGAATGCGAGATCGCGAGAATGTCCCTTACAGTATTCCATAGTCCTTTTAACTTTAATGTCGTGCTAAAAATCACCCTGACAGAATGTGACTGGGAATATGATGTTTCCACATCCAACAAACAGTTGTCCCAGAAAGTAAGCAAGCATCGACTTCGAGAAGATTTTACACACGCATCTGCCACTTTATGTTTCTCCTCTCTCCCTGTTCAAACGATGCTATGAAGGGATATCGGCCCACTGGTGTATCGCCACACATCGTTTATCACCTTTGATACTTTCTTTCAGTGGCATTTTAGAAGTTGGGAAGTACAATATTGAACAACTTTTATGGATAATACGAAATAAAAGAAGTCTCTATCCATAATGTTTGTTCAATATTACATCCTTGATATAACCAAGGAAAGAATGTTTTTATATTCACTGAACGTATTTGAGACAAGTTGTGTTTGTGGTGTTTTAGAAGGTCGAGGAAAGTGTTTTAACTGTTGCTATGTCGTAAGGAAACAAAGATCGGATCGCGAGATCTTATTTATATACATTAATCGGATTTTCCCCTTTGGACTGACAACATCACAACAAGGCAAATGTTTAAAAGGCAAGTAAATAATTGAAGCAGCGAGAAATTTGAACTTTTTAAGAAAACATGAAGTAACTGCAACACTCGAGAAGATAATATAAAAATGAACATAAAAGTTATGCTTTGAAGTTGACGCTGAGGTATTGCATTCCATTGTTGATAGAGGGCTTGTTCCGGTACATCAAGATTTTGTACTCGAAAATATCGTTGACGTATTCCGCGACCCATGAAGACCAATGATGACCTATGGTGACCTATGGTGACCTATGGTGACCCATATATGCTCTGTGAGGTTGAGACCTGGACTCCTCCCAGGTCAAGATACAACTGCTACCGTTTCCTTACGAAAGCAATCAACCGCGACAAATTTGTGGCCGAGCATTGTCGTGTCTATGAACGCGGTCCAAGAACCCCGGTCTAGGATGTCAGTTCAGCGTTAATCTGATGTACACAATGTCAAGTCTACAATCATATGAGAGGTATACCTACAAACCCATCAACCACTGCAATAAGACAACTGCTCAAAAATAGTCCGCTGTGTTTCTGATTCACCAAACACGAGATTGGCCATCAGTCATGCACAAAAGAAATCGCCCATGACGTCAAATCCCAGTGACGTCAAACTTAACACCAATCTGGACCTGCCATTTGTGCTCTGGAGATCACAAAGGACGTCTGTTGTATCGTCTGGCTCTATACCCCACCGATTCTGTTGGACAAGGGACGATGTGAAAACCACTCTGTATTTAACAGGCCACTTGACGTGAAAGGATAAAGTACTGTGAACATGAGACGGGTTGTATTCTCACTAGGACTTGTTACTCAGGGTCAATCTGACACTGATGGTCCTTAATGGTATTTGTTTATTGATGTTTTCTGGCCTATATATCGGCTGTTAATCGATGGATGTCAACCAACATATCTTGCAACAGTCCTCTATGACATGGCAGCACTCCACATACCAATAACGTGACGTCATTGAGCAGTTGTCAGTTGAAGAGACCCCATATTTGTTCATTAACAACGAAATCAATTGTTTTCGATCTGTATCGAATATAATAGTTATCGATCTGTAAGAACTGTTTGCTGAAACTTGATACTTGCTTACTGACGGCGTGACACTAAAGACCCGGTTCGAATCCCCACATGGGCACAGTGTGTGCAGCCCATTTCTGGTGTCCCCCGCCGTGACATTGCTGGAATATTGCTAAAAGCGGAGTAAAAGCATACTCACTCATTTATTACGTGCAATGATAGTCTTTTGCCTATCTAAAATGAAACGGTCAAAATAATCCAAATAATCACTAACACATGTTTATTACATGGATATTAATAGCTACGAAGGGTTTACAATCGTAGGTGTTGCGATACTTTTTTCCATGTGTACAACTGAAAATTATATAAATAACGAAAAATGTCGCTGTAATGATAGTTTATACTCCACAAGCACAGGCCCTCGTGTCTTTGCGAGGATTAAAGATTAAAAAAATATTGTTTTTGAGATGACCCGACTCGACATTATGACAGTGAAGCATTTCGAGCTGGGGGTCGTCTCAAAAACAATATTTTTTTAATCTGTAGTCCTCGCAAAGACACGACGGCCTGTGTCCACAAGTGGCAGCAAAGGGTCAGGATTCAAACAGCGTCACTCAGCTCCTGCTTAAACAGCTGTTCAGAGCTAAAACAACCAGGAGTACAGCTTTCATGTTGTATTGTAGACACAGAGAATAATGTTTCCAAATTTGATGTAGCAGTAACAAGAATGATGCCCGAAGCAATTCCATATTTCAACTTTTACCGTTTTGTTCCAACGTGAGCTGAATTAAACATCTGACCATATGACTTGGGTGACAGACGGAGAGGGAACACCCGGTGTCATGTATGTGACAGTGAATTGTAAAACAACATGCATATGATATGGTACTAATTGTACAATGGGTTGTGGAATAAGTTTGGTCGGCCATAGCTCTATGTTTATGTTGAATTGGTTTGAAGAGCACACAATCGACATACTGTAATGTTACAACCTTCTGTAGTTGTCCGTCACTTACACTGCACCACGTGGTATATGTGAGAATGCTATGGTGTCCTGCTGGTTCCGCCGAACATGCGTCATGTAGCTGGTCTACAGAAGACTACTGACGTGGTCGGGGTCGATGTCGCTACTGTAGCCGGAGTACTGCGGCATTAAACAACATGCTATCAAGCACTCGGACAGTACTTGGATAGATGGTGCAAAGGTAGGCTTTTGCATGATCAAAGCGAATAAATTATATCAATCATAAAGCGAAAATGAAAATAAATATTCGTGGTTACTACGTGACTGGCAAGGTAAAGGTTGAATATAACTGTCGGACATGTAGCTGTTGGAAACATTAACAAAACCAACATTTCCTTTTCTTGTTTTCTTTATAGTCTGAATTTTTATTACGATAATATGATCATGTAGGTTCCAAAACTCACATTTAATAACTTTAACATGCATAAGAAAATGAAAGTTATGATGTGGTTGTTTTTTTACATCATTGACATATACTAATAATACGTTACAAAAGGTACAATGAACATGGCAATATCTGACATGGCTGTCTACAGGACGCCGTCACTGGTAAACACCTGGTGGAATGTCAGGGTTAAGGATATACAACTCGCCTCAGGTTAGAAATATTCCAGCAGAGCAACTAGTACACGTATTACTAGTACATGTATTACTAGTACACGTATTACTAGTACATGTTCAAACACTTTGCCAGCTTTAGTAGTACACAAACAATAAAAAACACTGTGGAATTAGGACACCCGTTTGCCCTAGTCTTCAACAAGGTAAATACATCAAGTATCTTCTGAAAGTGAGTCGCGAATGGGTGAACAATGAACAGAGACATTCCAGCGCCATACGTTATTGACTATAATGATCACATCGGATTGTAAGCAGTCTTAAACGTTCTGGTGTGGCTTACTAGTGCTCGATATATCGACACACATTGTCTGTCAGAATAGTGGATGATCAGATCCATATATTACACTCCATATACAGGTCAGGAAGATGGAGGCAGATGCCGACCACATCAGAGGGCCTCTGGTACAAACAGGAGGAGATGATAAGCTTTTTTCATTTTATAAACACAACACAAACATTGTTTTCTTTTAGAATTTGTTATACTATTAAAAACGTCATCATCGAAATAGGTTTGTCTTGGGCGAAGGTTCACTCCCATATCTTGTCTCTGAACAGGCCGACTTGTCATGTCTTCAAGACAAAGCTTCGTACACATTTCATTCGGGATCTTGTTCCCGGTATTCCCTATTGCCAGAACCGGTCTTGAATACCTCGTGGAGTAAAACCATAACACTGCATCACGTGGCAAAGGCTCTGTGAGGCTGCTCATTGCATGCCATGGTACCTCCACCGTGTAGATAGGTCCTCATTGTAGATTGTAGGAAAACCCAGTGGCTTTTACTCTCCGAAATCCCGGAACCAATTCTCCAGATGGATACAATGTTTATTAAAACGAGTGTACAATCATACCACTGCACAAACTCATCGGTTCCCAAATTGTTGGACCACAGTTACAACCATGTAGAGTAGATAGGAGGAGGACACTTCCAGTCTTGACGCTTCAGTGACAAAACCCATTTCAGATGCAATTCCTCATTTTAACTTTTACCATGCGTTGGTGTGTGTGCGTTTTATTAGATGTCAACGGTGGGGCAAGATACAAACATCTTTGGAGTGAAAATCTACATCATGATTATTTCATAGTGATTCGTGAACACATGCTAACATTTGCTAATCGGGACGTGGATATTCGTACAATGGATGGTTCATGAGTATTCAGTATGATTCTGGAACAGACAGCACTAACACTAGTGAGAGACCGGAAGGGATAACCTGTCGTGTGTGACGCTAGTCACTTAGACGTTGTTACACATCAAGATGTTTTTGGATGGCATTCAGGAGTGATACACAGAAAAGGTGACCAGTTATGGATGTCAACATCTTTATTATCAGGAACACGACGTTTCGGAATATATTCGTGCTCCATTAGGGTCATGTGGTTCAGGTCCATCAGGGTCACGTGGTTCAGGTCCACCAAGGTCACGTGGTTCAGGTCCACCAAGGCCACGCGATGAAGGCGAATATTCTCCGAAAGTATGAAGGAATGGGCATTAACATTTAAATCTCGTGCTCCTGATAATCAAGACGTTGACACCTACAAATGATCACCTATTACACCAAGATGTTGTTATACATCTTGTGATCTGTTCCTTCCGTGGGACATGCACACAAATCGAAACACGCTAATTAGGTCTGGCAGAACGACTAAACCAGACACAAACGAAATTATAATGATGCCGAACAGGCCAATATACTTGGCGCTTGGTTTCTTGTTCACTGCGCTACGTTTTTTCCGAATGTAACTGGAAGTATTCGTTGCTGGGATGATCAACTTCTGTTTGATCGCAGTGCTCAGTTCGGCCAGTAATTCACGGTCGTGCGGGATGAACGTCTGGCATCGGCACCGACAGAGTCCCGCAGTGGTCACCGACGAGTCTGGCGTAGTAGTGGATGACGAAGGTATAGCTGCAGTACTAAATGTATCTCCAGAAGCCGTCATTGACGTCGCTGGGTAGCTGGTTTGGAAATGGCTGCTCTGAAAGCTAGACAACTCTGTAGCTGTAACATGGCTGCGTGGCAGTGACGTCATGTCCGGTACTTGCGAGGTTATTGGGCTTGTGTTCGCTGTGGTATTATGGCGTGGTCCGGAACTCAGTTGTATACTGGTTTGTGTAGCATCCAGCGCGTCCGTGATGGAAAAGCTGCTGTCATCTAGGATGGACAGACTGCTGTCATCTAGGACGGAGAGACTCATGTCGTGTAGGGTGGAGAGACTGAAGCCATAAAGGGTGGGGATTCCCGACGTGGTGATGTCAGTGCCAGCCATATCTGTCTGCAATATCTCTGACGTCGCCAACAACCCGTGTGAACTGATCGCTTGATCATTTGCCGTTGATGATGTCGGATAAGATGACAACAAAGGGCTTGAAAGCGTTGATGAAAATGTTGCTGAAACATAGATTCATCATCATCCACGAGGGGAGGACAGTAGTTTCTTGTTTATGTAAACATGGGGGCGGCATCCTTGTCAGCAGTTGCTGTATTTTATGCGTGGTCAGTGACACAAACAAAGTGACACAGGCAGTATCTTGGATCGCCGGAGCCTCACACAGCAAAGGGACGATATAAACAGCAGATAATACCAATCAATAACACGGAAAACATCTATACCAAACAATCTGTCACTCGGAGCAGGATTTTCATCTCCTCAAACTATCAACATCACTCACACTAGGTGTGTGACCCCATCAAACAATCATTATCACTCACACTAGGTGTATCATCTCATCAAACAAGCAATATCACTCAAAACAGGTTTGCCATCCAATCACACAAACAATATCCCTCACAATAGGTATGTCATCCCATCAAACAAACAATATCACTCACCCCAGGTGTGTCTTCTCATCAAACAAGCAATATCACTCACACTAGGTTTGCCATCCCATCAAACAAGCATCATCACTCACACCAGGTGTGTCATGCAATCACACAAACAATATCACTCAAAACAGATTTGCCATCCAATCACACAAACAATATCACTCACACTAGGTGTGTCATCCCATCAAACAAGCAATATCACTCACACTAGGTGTGTAATCCCATCAACAAGGAATATCACTCACACTAGGTGTATCATCTCATCAAACAAGCAATATCACTCAAAACAGGTTTGCCATCCAATCACACAAACAATATCCCTCACACTAGGTATGTCATCCCATCAAACAAGCAACATCACTCACCCCAGGTGTGTCTTCTCATCAAACAAGCAATATCACTCACCGTGATTTTGTCAACCCATCAGCAAGCAATATCACTCACAACAGGTGTGTCATCTCATCAATCAAGCAACATCACTCAACAAGGTGTGTCATCTCATTAAACAAGCAATATCACTCACAGTGACTTTGTAATCCCATGACACAACCAATATCACTCACACCAGGTGTGTCATCTCACCAAACAAGCAATATCACTCACACTAGGTGTGTCATCTCATCAAACAAGCAATATCATTCACACCAGGTGTGCCATCTCATCAATCAAGCAATATCACTCACACTAGGTGTATCATCCCATCAAACAAGCAATATCATTCACACTAGGTATGTCATTTCATCAAAAAGCAACATCACTCAAACCAGGTTTGTCATCCCATCAAACAAGCAATATCACTCACACAAGGTATGTCATTTCATCAAAAAGCAATATCACTCACACCAGGTGTGTCATACCATCAAACAACCAATATAACTCACACCAGGTGTTTACCCATCAAACAAGCAATATCACTCACACTGCGGGTGTCATATCATCAAAGAAGCAATATCATTCACACCAGGTGTGTCTTCCCACCAATCAAGCAATATCACTCACACCAGTTGTGTCATCTCATCAAACAAGCAATATCACTCACACCAGTTGTGTCATCTCATCAAACAAGCAATATCACTCACACCAGTTGTGTCATCTCATCAAACAAGCAATACCACTTACACCAGGTTTATCATCCCATCAAACAAGCAATATCACTCACACCAGGTGTGTCATCCCATCAAACAAGCAATATCACTCACACCAGTTGTGTCATCTCATCAAACAAGCAATATCACTCACACTAGGTGTGTCATCCCATCAAACAAGCAATATCACTCACACTAGGTGTGTCTTCCCATCAAACAAGCAATATCACTCACACTAGGTGTGTCATCCCATCAAACAAGCAATATCACTCACTCACACTAGGTGTGTCATCCCATCAAACAAGCAATATCACTCACACACTAGGTGTGTCATCCCATCAAACAAGCAATATCACTCACACTAGGTGTGTCATCCCATCAAACAAGCAATATCACTCACACTAGGTGTGTCATCCCATCAAACAAGCAATATCACTCACACCAGGTGTGTCATCCCATCAAACAAGCAATATCACTCACACCAGGTGTGTCATCATCATCAAACAAGCAATATCACTCACAAACAAGGTATCACTGTCATCCCATCAAACAAGCAATATCACTCACACCAGGTGTGTCATCCCATCAAACAAGCAATATCACTCACACTAGGTGTGTCATCCCATCAAACAAGCAATATCACTCACACTAGGTGTGTCATCCCATCAAACAAGCAATATCACTCACACCAGGTGTGTCATCCCATCAAACAAGCAATATCACTCACACCAGGTGTGTCATCTCCCATCAAACAAGCAATATCACTCACACTAGGTGTGTCATCCCATCAAACAAGCAATATCACTCACACTAGGTGTGTCATCCCATCAAACAAGCAATATCACTCACACACACTAGGTGTGTCATCTCATCAAACAAGCAATATCACTCACACTAGGTGTGTCTTCCCATCAAACAAGCAATATCACTCACACTAGGTGTGTCATCCCATCAAACAAGCAATATCACTCAAACTAGGGTGTGTCATCCCATCAAACAAGCAATATCACTCACACTAGGTGTGTCATCCCATCAAACAAGCAATATCAAACCAGGTGTGTCTTCCCATCAAACAAGCAATATCACTCACACTAGGTGTGTCATCCCATCAAACAAGCAATATCACTCACACTAGGTGTGTCATCCCATCAAACAAGCAATATCACTCACACTAGGTGTGTCATCCCATCAAACAAGCAATATCACTCACACTAGGTGTGTCTTCCCATCAAACAAGCAATATCACTCACACTAGGTGTGTCTTCCCATCAAACAAGCAATATCACTCACACTAGGTGTGTCATCCCATCAAACAAGCAATATCACTCACACTAGGTGTGTCTTCCATCCCATCAAACAAGCAATATCACTCACACTAGGTGTGTCTTCCCATCAAACAAGCAATATCACTCACACTAGGTGTGTCTTCCCATCAAACAAGCAATATCACTCACACTAGGTGTGTCTTCCCATCAAACAAGCAATATCACTCACACCAGGTGTGTCATCTCATCAATCAAGCAATATCACTCACACTAGGTGTGTCATCCCATCAAACAAGCAATATCACTCACACTAGGTGTGTCATCCCATCAAACAAGCAATATCACTCACACTAGGTGTGTCATCCCATCAAACAAGCAATATCACTCACACATCAAGGTGTGTCATCCCATCAAATCAAAAGCAATATCACTCACACTAGGTGTGTCATCTCATCAAACAAGCAATATCACTCACACTAGGTGTGTCATCCCATCAAACAAGCAATATCACTCACACCAGGTGTGTCATCTCATCAAACAAGCAATATCACTCACACTAGGTGTGTCATATCATCAAACAAGCAATATCACTCACACTAGGTGTCATCATCATCAAAAAGCAATATCACTCAAACCAGGTTTGTCATCCCATCAAACAAGCAATATCACTCACACAATAGGTATGTCATTTCATCAAAAAGCAATATCACTCACACCAGGTGTGTCATACCATCAAACAAGCAATATCACTCACACCAGGTGTTTACCCATCAAACAAGCAATATCACTCACACTACGGGTGTCATATCATCAAACAAGCAATATCACTCACACCAGGTGTGTCTTCCCATCAAACAAGCAATATCACTCACACCAGGTGTGTCATCTCATCAAACAAGCAATATCACTCTCACACCAGTTGTGTCATCTCCATCAAACAAGCAATATCACTCACACCAGGTGTGTCATCTCATCAAACAAGCAATATCACTCACACCAGGTTTGTCATCCCATCAAACAAGCAATATCACTCACACCAGGTGTGTCATCCCATCAAACAAGCAATATCACTCACACCAGGTGTGTCATCTCATCAAACAAGCAATATCACTCACACCAGGTTTGTCATCCCATCAAACAAGCAATATCACTCACACTAGGTGTGTCATCCCATCAAACAAGCAATATCACTCACACCAGGTGTGTCATCCCATCAAACAAGCAATATCACTCACACCAGTTGTGTCATCCTCATCAAACAAGCAATATCACTCACACTAGGTGTGTCATCTCATCAAACAAGCAATATCACTCACACCAGGTGTGTCATCCCATCAAACAAGCAATATCACTCACACACTAGGTGTGTCATCCCATCAAACAAGCAATATCACTCACACTAGGTGTGTCATCCCATCAAACAAGCAATATCACTCACACCAGGTGTGTCATCCCATCAAACAAGCAATATCACTCACACCAGGTGTGTCATCTCATCAAACAAGCAATATCACTCACACTAGGTGTGTCATCCCATCAAACAAGCAATATCACTCACACCAGGTGTGTCATCCCATCAAACAAGCAATATCACTCACACTAGGTGTGTCATCCCATCAAACAAGCAATATCACTCACACTAGGTGTGTCATCCCATCAAACAAGCAATATCACTCACACTAGGTGTGTCATCCCATCAAACAAGCAATATCACTCAATATCACTCACACTAGGTGTGTCATCCCATCAAACAAGCAATATCACTCACACTAGGTGTGTCATCCCATCAAACAAGCAATATCACTCACACCAGGTGTGTCATCTCATCAAACAAGCAATATCACTCACACTAGGTGTGTCATCCCATCAAACAAGCAATATCACTCACACCAGGTGTGTCATCCCATCAAACAAGCAATATCACTCACACTAGGTGTGTCATCCCATCAAACAAGCAATATCACTCACACTAGGTGTGTCATCCCATCAAACAAGCAATATCACTCACACTAGGTGTGTCTTACCATCAAACAAGCAATATCACTCACACTAGGTGTGTCTTCCCATCAAACAAGCAATATCACTCACACTAGGTGTGTGTCCCCATCAAACAAGCAATATCACTCACACCAGGTGTGTCATCTCATCAAACAAGCAATATCACTCACACCAGGTGTGTCATCTCATCAAACAAGCAATATCACTCACTCTAGGT